ACACACATATGTATGTATGTGTGTATATCATAGCGAGTGAGGTAGGAGTGTAGGACTAATTAAAAAAAAAAAAGACGGGGCGCTATATATCTTACAAGTATTGTGTCATGTGATCTGTGTTCTGCATAACTCATAGGGTCAGTTTGACAACTACCCTATACCAATTTTGATCTAAGTCGGTTTTGCTTAAAACCAGACACACATATGTATGTATGTGTGTATATCATAGCGAGTGAGGTAGGAGTGTAGGACTAATTAAAAAAAAAAAAGACGGGGCGCTATATATCTTACAAGTATTGTGTCATGTGATCTGTGTTCTGCATAACTCATAGGGTCAGTTTGACAACTACCCTATACCAATTTTGATCTAAGTCGGTTTTGCTTAAAACCAGGTGAAATATGGAGCAAAATACAATCATTTTAATGTCAAAAATTGGCTCACAAAATCAATTTAAATTTTGTTCTAGTTTCTTAATTTGTTCTTTTTTCTTTTTTCTTTTTCTTTTTGCGCCAAACTAGGGTCATGACTCGGACTAGTTTACGTGGACTTGTCAAGACCTAAGCGTGTGCTGAAAGCGCATTTAATTTAATTAGAAAAGAAGGGCGGTTGGTTTAGCTAATCTGTGTACCTTTAGCCAAACGAGAGAACCAAAGTACAGTGTTTTCTATCTACTTACTATTTAACCTAATTATGCACCTTTACCTAATGAATTGTTTGTGGGAAAGGCATCGACAAAGCTTGCGATGAGAGTAAAGGCCAAGGACAATATGAAAGGAAAGCGTCACCCTTTCTTATCTCTTGTTCGGGGCTTTGAAAGGCATCATCATTGGCTAGTGATTTTTCATGCTGATAAAAGAGGGAGGATTTTGCCGACAGCAGTCATAAAAGAACCTAGATATAGGAAAACCCCCAGCGTAGGGATTTCATGGAATTCTTGCCTTGGGGAGCAAATGAAGCCTTGATTTGAGGCTCTAACAACCGGTTGTTCTCTTGTACCTTATGCATGAGAAACATGCCATGCTGAAAAAAATGCTTGAAAAGAGGCTTGTGCTCTTAGAAAAATAAGACGCGTTGCTCATTCATGAGCATATATATTCTAGAGGCATAGTTTTGTTGGAAAAAAGAAAAGAAAAGAAAAGAAAAGATGCATATTCATCAATTTTGGTACGACGATCAAAATTTAGGTACATTGTCAGGAGTCTGAGACAGTACACAGCTAGTTAAATTCGAACCTCATAATCAGAGGAAGATCAATTTGACAAATTTCGTTTTAACTTCTCATAAAGGGACTGTGATGGTAGGAATTAAATACACCTCTCGATCGATATACTTCTTCAGAACATGACTTGGACGAGTAAACTTCAACTAGACATAGGTCACATAGCCATAGAGGGCCGTTTTTTAGTCGATAATTTATGGGGCCCTTATGTAGGTGGCTTTCTTTATATCCAAAGTAGAACAAAAACTAGGAGTAATTAAATCTTATCCTCTGGGAGAAAGATACAAATGCTATCTAAATAGCAAGAAGGCGACAATTCACAAGTTGGATATCTAATGGTAAACAACTAAAGATGGTAGACCAACATAAGTTAGGCTTGATCCAAGCCTAAATCCAAACGTTGAGGTTGTTGAAACATGCACGCCAGAAAACAGGGAACTTCTCTCTTGTCGGTCGACGGATAAAATTAATCAGTCGACCGATGACATGCACACTAGGAACATGTATCGGTCGACCGATGACGTTCGAAACATATTCCTATTATGTTAGGGTATATATATTATAAGGGCATGGCGGCTGTGAGAGGAGAGGCGTTTAAGAGAGAGAATTGAGCACTTTGAGAGAGAGAGATTCTGTGAAGGTGAGTGAGGTCTTGTTGGTGATGGTTATTTTGATTGTTTGAGAGTTGTAACTCATTGTATTTCTCCTCCATATAATGAATTCTTCCCGTCCTCTCCCCGTGGATGTAAGCATCTTGCCGAACCACGTAATTCTCTATGTTAACGATTGATCTTGGCTGTTTGGATTGTGAATTGTGCTCGTTGTGTTCTTTGTGCATTGCTTACCGACTTGTTGTGAATTGAGTCCACTTCCGCTGGACGCAGCAGATGTTGGCCTTGAAAGGTGTATTCACACTATTAATCATTAATGTCTTAAAAGCAATTAACTTGCCTACATAGAGTTAGAATTTGAACATATGAAAAAGGAAAAGGACTTCCATATCATAAGAAAGCAAGCATTGGATTTCTCCATGACAACATGGTCGTATAAGTAGGCAGGCAAAGGTAACTAAATCTTTCCCTTAATGCTGCCCAAGATCTTGGTTTGGTGCAATCGGACCCATCATCAACAAATCAATAATAGGATATTTAAAGAAATACAATATCTTATCCTCATCTCTCTCTCTCTCCGTCTCCTTTCTCTCTCTCTCTCTCTCTATATATATCTATCTATCCAATTGATAGAGACCCTCACCTTGGTCTTACATCCTTTTGAGTACATAAAAACATGGGAAGAGTTCAATAGTGTCCAGTTTTGTGCCTGCAAAATTATATTGTGTGAGGTTTCCTCTCACTTTCCAACTTTGTCTCAAGCTCAACAGATGCCCATGTGTTGCAAATTCAATTGTAGAGAAAAATATGGCAGGGCAGGGCTAAGTTTGGTGGAGCCCTTAGCCTTTATCATTGGAGGATTGTATTGAGGAAGTCTTAAAACTAAGAATGAGAATCATATGTGGGATCTTAAACACCAACTTTTTGATAGGTTTTGGGCTGCTTGGGCATCCAATGGCATCTAAAATGGCATGTGCGCTTGTGGAGTGGCTGGCCTTCTTGTTGTACTCCTTGTATAGTTGTTGTATGTCTAGGGTTGACAACTTTTAATATACTATTACTATCTATATTACTTTAAAAGAGGGGTGGGGGGGGGGAGATATATATTTAGGGGGTGTTTGTTTCAAATCCTATAATTTTAGGATATGGATTTCACCATAGAATTTGAAATCCATAGGTAATTTGTTATGGGTTGGGATTCCTAAAACTTTGTTTGTTTCAACAATATTTTGGGATTTAGAATACTATAATTTGTAATATTTTTGTCTGCTTCAAACTTTTTGGAATTTAAAATCCTTAATTTGTCTAACACTTTTGAAATTCACCCCACATCCCACCCAAAAAAGAGGATTTCACAAATCCTTAAATATAATACGTTTTTATTATTTGGGGATTTGATATTCTAAAATTTGTTTTGAAACAAACAAGTTTTATGGAATTCTAAAACCCAAAAAAACCGACTTTTTAATCCTAGAATTTGAAATCCCACCCAAATGCCAATTTTTTTTTGAAACAAACACCCCCTAAGGATCTTTGAACTAACGATAAGAATCAAAACACATATTCTACATGATATTTTAAGGTTATTATTATTTCCTTACATTTATTGTATTATCATATCTTTTTATATGTTTATGATATAATGTAAAAGAAATTATGGATTCTTTATGTGTCGAACAACATATATTACATAAAAAATGGAACACGAAAAGCATATGCTGATCTTTTAAAATTTCACACAATCAACGGTCAAAAGATAGGAATACAAATTGGGGTCTCATCGAAGCAAGACGAGTCAAACAAAATGACCTGTAAATAAGAGAATAGGCAAGCTGCAATGCCCAAGTTGGTGGGCTCATTCATGGCCCAAGGGCCCCCCTGCACTAACTGTGAACGTCTTTACCCTACAACATGGACAGTATTCTAAAGCCCTGTGCTTATAGAATCAGGCCCAATATAAATTACACGCTTGCTTACTTCTCATTTAGCTACATACTATGTAATGATGTCACTGTTACGTAAAGTAGATGGCATTGAATGGCCAAGCTGAACGCTTTCTTGAATATTTGGTCTTGATTTCTAACGAGGTCCGCATATCCTCATTTATCTATACGGTTCAGATAGCAGATAAAGATCATACTATCCTCGCATAGCAAAATCATCCACATATTAACCTGCACTGTTCAATACACAAAAAGAATCAAAAGCAGAATACAAGCAAGAGGTTTTTTGGATGACTGTCAAATACATAGAAAATAGAATCCATAAAACCCAGCTCATGCCTTCATCCACAATTACGTAGGAAGACGTAATGTTATCAGAAAATTTGCATAACTACACAGACACTACCACTAAAACTATCATCTCCATCAGTGCTACTTCCAAGCCATCCATTAACTGCTACCTCTTCCACACTTTTACAACAGAAATCAGTAACATGTCCAATATTACCCATAAAGAGAGCTTTCAACCACAGAGCAAATGATAAAAGCTACCAGCAACTGAAAGTAATTTAAGAGGTACAGAGTTATTAAGCATTCGGAAACAAAGTTCAACAAACCGAGGGAAATTAGATGAGTCAGCGCCTGCTTGATATACTGAAGGAGCTAACTTTCATGGGAGTTGCGACCACCAATGGTGCCTCCGGGGAGTCAGTTACAGCAAACTTATCATGCATGAAGCGACTATCTACTATTGATTCGTCCTTGAGGACAACTCTATAGCAATAGCAGCTTTTCAAGCCTTCTTGGTTCTGATAGCACTCGTGCTTGCTGTTCTTTACTTGCTGAAAGTCCCAAATGACGCTAAATTTGCCCACTGTCGCAACGAGATGCCTCTCCTGCTTGCCATTTTCGGTAACCTGGTTGCAATGCGCACAAATTTCACTGAATTAATAAATAAAACATTTGATTTTGGAGAAGAAATACTCTAGCGCAAGTGACGGTTCACAGTTTCAGATGATCCACCGTATTGTCTTGTCAAATGAGATTCTAGGTTTTGAAAGCAACATAAATCACAGAAATGGAAATGACTTGCTACTGGGAGAAATTGAACTGCCTGGTTTCAAGACTTGTTAGTTTGCAATCAGATATCAGAAATGATCATAATAAAGAGGGGGGAATATAAGGTTTGGTGATGAATGTAAAAATTTCGAACTACTGAACCATTGAACTGCTCAGCCGAAGACAAGACAACTGTAGATAAAGAGTTGGTATGACTAAATCCATTTAAATCCTAGTTAGCTGCAGTCATAATTACTCCAATGTCAGTTTGTCTCTTCCTTTGTATCGATAGACCTATGTATTACTAGAGTATAGGATTGCTCTACTCTCTGATCTAATTGCGCAGTTCAAACCCACAAAAATTAATAATGCCAATATATTAACCAGCCCAAAATGTTGTACCATGTGCAGTACCTTACACGTGAAGTCTATGTATAATTTGGACAATACAAAGAAAACAAATCTTCTGCTAACATATACTCTTGTTGTATTGACCCAGGAATATCATACAGAGCAGAAATAACACAAGCTTCTTTAGTTCGAACTGACTTGATTAAGAAAGAAATAGAGTACACGTGAATCACGATACCTATTTCAGTCTGCATAGCAGTCTTATTCATCTGATCCATAAAATCTTATCAACATGGTTTTGAGCCATTTCATATGTAGGAAACAGATTGTACCAAACACAATCTAACAGTAATGAGGATCAGCCTATATATCTTTACGTGTTTGCCATAAGGACCTTGTTTTACTGCAATTTGCAACCTTATGATATTTGACCCATCCCCAATGACACAGCAATCATGCTCCAAGTTGATTGTTGCCTCTGGGAAAAAGAAGACCATAAGAACTGGAACTAAGATTGTAAGATGATCATCTCATTCTAATTATCAGAATTATTTTGATCCCAACTTTATATGTGCACAAACCAATTTGGAAGTCGGTTACTTAGAAGTAGAACACAGATCACACAAGTCAAATACCAAATCTGCCCCCAAGGTAAAGAGGACCTAAATTTACTGCAATTTGCAACCTGATGGTATTTGACTCATTGCCAAGAAACAGCACTCATGCTCCAAATATCACCTAAACATATTTTCGATTAGATCGTTGCCTCTGGGAAAAAGAAGACCCCAAAAACGAAAACTAAGATTCTAAGATGGTTGTCTTATTCTAATTATGAGGATTGCTTTGATACCAACTTTATCTGTAGACAAACCAATTTGAAAATGTGTTCTATTCGGTTACTTAGAACCCATAGATCACACAAGTCAAATAAAAATGTGTTCCATTCGGTTACTTAGAACCCATAGATCACACAAGTCAAATACCAAATCAGCCCCAAGAAGGAACAACCTGATTGCCCTGATTGCCTATCGCCTTGTACTCAGGAAATAAAATCCATACATTATCCATAACGTGTTTTATTATAGGATGCAATTCATTAATTCCTAGCCATGTCAACTGCATCCTGCCAACATCAACTTGCCCAGTTCGTAGCCAATGTCTAATGTGCTTTTATCTTAGATCAGTCAAGTACTACTTAAACCTGTTGTAACTTGTAAGCAACCTCTAAATTGTTGGCGATTCTTTAGTAAATATACCATAGTTGTTACTTCCATCTTTTTGGTCCGCAGGAAACAATGAGATGGGTCAGTCTGACTAAAATCTCAGTCTGACCAAAATCAACAACACCATATAAGTATCTTATGAAAGAGTTGACACAATGATCTCCTTCAGAAGTCAGATTCTCCACTTTCACATTGTCAGGTACATCCCTTGCTATCATTCTGATGTCTTGAGCTTTAGTTGTTAGATTAACAGAGACTATGCTAGAAAAGGAATGTAGACTCATACCTTATCCCCGTTGACGGCGACCTCCGACGAGGTCGAACAACGAAGACGAGCTCAGGTGAGCTCGCAGAGGGCTACAGGCGACCTCTTGATCAGCTGGCGAGTCGACACAGGCGAAGTCGACGACTAGGGCAGTTGGCGAGTCGACACAGGCGAAGTCCAATCGGGCGAACTCGAGCAGGCGGATTTGAAGATCTTTCTGGCGAAGTCAACGAGCCTGGTTGCAGGCGGGTTTGAGCTCGAAAAGGGACGTGCAGGCGAGCGTAGGGTTGAGCAGGAGAGATCGATGTTCGTCTCCCCCTTTTAGTTCGTCGCGTTTCTTCGCCTGCGCTGTTGGGAAACAGCTGGCGCAAGCTGGCTAGGGTTTCCCTATTTAAGGGAAACCCATGAGCAGCGAAATATGTGTGCGCAGCCCTGGATTTTTCTTCTCAACGACAACTCTTTGAGGCGGCGACCATTAAATCGAGCTCGAGATTTTCGGAGGAAAATCTCGTTCATTTAAGGAGTTCCTGTAGTGTTTTTTTTTTTTTGAGAGAGAGAGGAGATTTCACTGTTGTAAAATCTCGCGCCTTATTTTAACAACAGAGAATTTTATGTTGGTTCTTTTTGAGAGACCTCAAGTTGAGATCTACTCTATTACAAGCTTTGTAATCTTCTTTATATATAAAGGAAATTATTTGTGTGGCTCTCGAGGACGTAGGCAAGTTGTTGAACCTCGTTAAAACTCGATGTTCTTTGTTCTTATAATTATTTTTGATTTGGTGTGATTTCTTATTTCCATTGCTTAACACAAGATCCGGTAGGACAAATTTCGCAGAGGGTTCTTATTTGACAGGTGGTCGAATAGCTAATGAGCAGTTGTACCAACAGGTGGTAGCTTGAATCCCCAACAACTGGTATCAGAGCTCTTGTTCAGATCTGTGTGTAAGAAATGGTAGAAGAAGGTAAATCAAAAATTAAGAAGTTTGATAGATCAAACTTCGCCTACTGGAAGTCACAGATGGAGGACTATCTGTACCAGAAGGATTTTTACTGTCCGTTGATAGGTAAAACAAAAGGACAGAAGAAAGAAGAATCCGACGAGGACTGGAAAATATTGGATCGAAAAGCCTTGGGACAGGTCCGATTAGCCCTCGCAAAATCTGTAACACACAATATATTAAAGGAGAAGACGACAGTTGGGCTTATGAAAGCGCTCGCAACGATATACGAACAACCGTCAGCTGCAAATAAGGAGCATCTCGTCAAGACGTTATTCAACCTCAATATGGCAGAAGGATGTCCCTTCACAATGCATCTCAGCGATTTCAACACGATTGTTGATCAACTCGTCTCAGTCGACATCACGTTTGTGTGACCGCAATCAGCAACTCGACAGGGAAGGAGAAATTAAAGCTGAAGGAGGTGATAGCTATGATTCTATCAGAGGAGGTTAGAAGAAAATCGAATGAATCAGAAGGTTCGGGTTCAGTCCTAAGCCTCGAGCAGAGAGACAGAAGCCATAATAGAGGGAACCAAAACAGGAATCGATCGAAATCGAAGAAGAAAATGTCAAACTCGAAGGTGAGACCTATCAAGGGGATATGTTGGAATTGTGGCCAAGAGGGCCACATGTCTTCTACCTGTAAAGCACCGAAGAAAAATAAGCAGGAGGCTCATATTGTGCAAGATACGCTGATTCTCGCTATGGATAGCGATTCTGGCTCATGGGTCATTGATTCGGGAGCCTCATTACACGCCACTGCTAATAGAAAGCAATTTTAGAACTATGTAGCAGGGGACTTTGGGAAAATATAATTAGGGGACAATGAACCTTGTAGTTGTAGACGTCAAAAATGCTTACAGACATCCAAATATCACTCAAGACAAAGAGAAGGTGATAAACATCAGTATCTAAGTCATGGGAGATCATACAAGCCCAAAGGAAGCAAAAGGATCTGTGAATCAACATAAAACAATGTGAATTCACAGAACAATGCAAACTACAGCGTGTGGGCGCGGCAGCTCATGGTGCCGCGGCTACAGCGCGGCAGCTCATAGTGCCGCGGCTAAGACGCGGCAGTTCATAGTGCCGCGGCTTGGGCGCGGCAATCCATGGTGCCGCGGCTACTATAGGGGATGCTACAGCGGTTACGAGGTAGTTATGTGATGATTATGTGAAGTCTACGTGGCGGCGTATCAGAAATAGAACGTGTGCTGACGTGTACAAGCAGTTAAACCACGAAAAAGGTGGTTAAAAGTCGTGGGAGGACAGTTTCAAGCACGATGGAACGTGCTGGTAACTGCCCCTGTGGCCGCTGCAGTTCATGCTGCCGCGCCAATAGCCGCTGCAGTCCGGGATGTCGCGGTCAAAGGGATAGTCGTTGATCGGCTATTTCTTCAGTTATTGTCCAAGGAGGCTATAAATACCCCCCTATGGACATCATTGACGGGGGGCTGAGCATTTTCCAGAGAGATTAGAGCAGAGAGCCTTGAGTTTTGGTGAATTAGAGCAAGAGAGAGAGTCTTCCTTCTTCACAAACATCCTCAAGAAGCTTCTAGCGAGTCCTAGAGATCTAAGCTCAGACTTGATCTTTGGAAGAGTGAACATCTTACATCGATAAGATATTCGCTTCAAATTCTTACTTCGATAAACGAAGGAAGAATCATTAAACCCCTCACGGTTCAATCAGAATCTGTGATTTGGTGGTCCACGAGTCAAAGCGCTCCCGGCACAGGCAAAGATCCCACGCAAGCAGCGATCCAAACAACGGTCCTGCGTTTGTTTCTCAAGAGTTGTAATTTTCCTTTTGTTGTGTAAAAGAAGTCTTATAAAAAGACTATTTCTTTTGAATTTATTGTAATCGACCGAAGATATAATGAATTCCACAACGAAACCAACTTTTGACCCAAACAAGCTGGCGACCACAGTGGGAGCCAACGGTCTCGCTGCCGAGACCGTCGTGTCGCAGCCGATCAAGATTCCAGTTGAATCCATGGTCGAATACGAATTCGACCAGAC